ACCCCCAGCTGGCTGGAGCTCAGATCTATAATATGCCTGCTCTGGGCAGAGGACATTGGAAACTGCTGATGGCAGCAACTTGGGGCCCTTGTGATTGCTCTCCCACACCACTACTGCCGGCGTCCCCCCACCACCTCCCCCCCCCCACCTCCTCCCGTTTGGGCCAGAAGGAAGTGGCAGATTCTCTTTAATTTCCTCCTGGCAGTGAGAAGCAAACAAACGGCTACCACATCTTGTGGGGCCTCCCCCGCTTACTGGGAGGGGCATTTTGACCAAAGGTCCCTGCCCAGCACCGCCCCTGCTTCCTTGGCTGTAAACATGTTGCTTCTCCCCTTTTCCAAGCTCTACAGGGAGGAGGAATTCCCCTCTGGGCCAAGGCCATGTTCCTCTCATCTCCCCAGGGTCAGGCTCCTGTGCCAACCACTAACTCCTGGCTCTGCTGGCCTGAGTCGAGGGTTGGGCAGGTGAAGCCTCTGTCTCAGTCCCAGAGTGGCCCCTCTCTGCACCTACACTTGCTCTTCTTACTGTATGCAGATAAGGATACAGCACTATCAGTGGCCTCCCAGAACCCATCGCTCTCTGACCTTGGGCAAGTCACTTCTAGTCTTCTCTGGCCCAAGGGCCCTGCTCTGAGAGTGGGATCAGCTGTTCTCTGCCTGCTTGAGGCTGCCTGGAGAATAAATAGGCTAGGCCCGTGGTAGGGTACTGTGTGGCTAATGGGGTCACTCCATGCTGAGGCTGGTCTAACTCACTTCCCAGACCAGTGCTCCCAGAAAATGGGCCCCACTCAGGAGAGAGACTGAGGCTTGGTTCAGTCTCAGCCATCAAACTTCAGGCACAATTTATTTCTAACTTTTTTTTTTTTTTTTACAAAAACTGTCTCAGAGAAAATGCCGCCTTTTGCCTTTCCTTACACCCCTACTGGAACAGGGCAGACAGAGAGGCCCCAGTGGACCCCCAGGCATCCTGAGCCAGTCAGACCTTGTGGGAGGACTCTGTGTAGGCCAGGTACCGAATCTTAAGATCCACTTCCCCAGTGGGGTTGGGCTCTGTCCTCAGGCCTCTTGTCCCACCAGTGTGGTTTCCCTGGAGAAGCCACTTCTGTGGCAGGGTCAGGTTCGTTTCTGGACTATGGGGAAGGAAAGGCAGGAGTAGAGGTCAGCTGCTAAGATAGGGCCCAGGAAAAGCAGTGGGAAGAGGGCCATTCACAGGTGAACAGGGGGAGAGGGGCTAGTGTGTGTTCCATCACTGGGGATATCTGGCAGAGGTCCTGGTTGAATATGTTGGTTCCTCAAATGGTCCCACTTTAGCCTACCTCAGTGATGCCTACCCTGGTCTCAGAGTCACCTGCCTGCCTAAGACCTGGGACTGACTGGAAGGGCTCAGTCAGGTCTGAAAGCTCCACCTGCTGTTCTCACCATGCCCACCTTAAACTAAGGCCACTTACGCTAGTGGCCACAACACTTATCCATCCATTCCAGTCACTTTAATTGAGGACTTTCTCTTAGCTCATCACATTTTTTGGGACAAATGCTTTGTTATGAGCACGAGAGGAAGGGGTGAGTAAGGCTGGTTCAGAAGGTGGCAGGTCTTCTGAAGGCCACAGCAAGAAGACCAGACTGTGTGCAAAGATGAATGGGGAATCTCTTACCCCTACAGTCCTGCTTATTTAGTTCCTTCCAGGTGTCACTCCTGCTCAGGACTCTTCCATGGCTCTCCACTGCCTCTGGATCAAGTCCAAACTCCTCAGCCTAGCATTTGAGGACAAAGTGCTGACCCTGTCTTCTCAGCACCCTTTGCTGACTTCAGCAACTAACTTTCTTTGATTATACTTGGCTGGTCTTATTGCCTCTGCTCAGAATGGGAGCTGCTCAAGGGCAGTCCTTGTGTCCCCTATGGCCAGCCTTGGCATGGGGGTGGGGAACAGGCACAGAAGAAGAATCAAATAAGAGCTTGTTAGGGGCGCAGTGTGTGGCATGGAGAGGAAGAGCTGTTCTAAACTCTTTCCTCCAAGGCTCCTATTTCCACTACTGTGGAACAAGGAGGGCTGGACGGGGCTAAGTTATACCATCCTATGGCTCAGAGGCCACTGGAGAGTGGTCAACAGTGGCGTCTCAGGGCCAGGCTTGTGGCAGCTGTTGAAAAAGATGGCTTTCCCTAAATCTCAGGCTTAGCTGGCATTCTTGCAGGAGGGAGCAGGGGTGTACAGGGACTCACACAGTCCTTGTCCACCAACCTGGCCCAGTCTGGGGTTCTGACTACTACACTGGTCCCCTGGGCCTCCTGGTTTCACAGGGCTCTCAGAAGGCTGGAGGCAGGTCAGATGGCCTCCTGCCATCTAAGAGAGCTTTGGAGCTGGCCTGAGGAAGAGTTCATGGAGGAGGTCCTGGCCCTAGCTGAGAAAAAGGAGTGGAGAAAGTTTTTGTATTGGTGTGCAAGTAGGGGACAGACCCCTGTCACAGCCTGCAGAGCTCCAGCCATTGCTGCCTTTCTTACAAAGGTGGTGACACTCTTCCTGCAGTTGGTGCCTACCCCTGTCCCAGCCCTCATCACTCCAGGTTAGGGTTTTGTTTTCTCCAGACCAGAAACCTTCCCCAAGGTATGGCCCCTTCTAAGTGTTCTCCAGGTGCACAGTGGCTGAGAACACAGATGCATCACTGAGCATTTGATGAATGGTTGAATTTTTCAACCCATCTGCAGCTTCTATGGTCCCTTCCCAGTGGTGGGGCTGACAGGCCCAGGTTCTCCCTGCCTTCTCCCTGGCCTGGCTGGCTGGCTGGCTGAGCTCCTGGTTCAGATCAAGTTATGCCTGGAGAGCACAGGGGCTAGATAAAGGTCCATTTTATCGATCCAGATGATAACCTTGGAAGTATGTGTATGTAGGGGCAGGGGGACACATCCTGCATTAAGTTTTATGGAGAGTGGGAGGTGAGCTGGCCAAGCTTCTGGGGCCTTTCACTATACCAGGGTCATGTTACATGTGGTACTAATTGGAGGGCTAGCCATCTACCTAGGCCATAAAACTGCAAAGTTAGTGTGGTGTTTGAGCTATGAGTTCCACACTAAGGCACTCAAGGCTGGAGATCCTTTGATGGTAGGATAGCTTATTGGGTGGATATTCCACGCATCTGATGCCATTTGCTCTCACTCCTTGATGACAGTTATCTTCTCCTGTCTCTAACCTCACCCTCCCCCAATCCAATCCAGTGATTCATCCAGAATTCTGAACATGGAAGTCCCCTGCTTTAAACCCTTCCATGGCTCCCTACTGCCCTCAGGATGAAGTCCAGATACCTTGCAGTGGCCTGCAGCACTCTGCCCATTCATCCTGCCTTACCTTTGTCTTCTGCTCGCTGCATGTACTTTCTGGTCTCCAAGTCTTTGGAAGTTTGTTCTCTGCCAGGAACCATCTTCCTTATCTTTTGCCCATCTTTCTAATTCCTATTTAACCCTTGGAGGTCCTGCAGCCAGGGGATTATGAACCTTCTCTGAGCTCCTGGCACAGCCCTAGTCTCTCTGTACAGTGATTATAGATTTGTTGGCTTCCTCTTCCCCACTGCTGAAGGGAGGCTAATTTATCTCTGCGACCCAAGGTCCAGCACAGGTATGGGGACAGAGCACAAGGCAGGAAAAGTTTTCTGACTTAGGGGATGAACCGATCCAAGATGAACATCTCACTTACTCTGGACATTTCCTGTCCTCCTGACCCAAGGTCTAGTTGGGCTCTCCATAGCGCTCCCTAGTAGCTCAGGTTATCAGTCCATATGTTGACTCTGCAACCCACTCCACCTTGCCCTCTTCTCCCAGGAGCTTTTTGTGGGCGGTTGTGGGATGTGCCTGGGCCCTTGCACCTGCACCCCAGCCTCTGAGACATAGCGCCCTGGGTTTCTCCAGCAACGGGCTTCTAGGGATGCTATGCCCTGCGGGGCCTGGAGCTAGGGAAGTCCCTCACCGCTGCCTCTCCCAGCTCCTGGTCCACTCCTCGCCTTGGAGGAGCCCTAAGTAAACAAGCCAGGCTCAGCGTCCCCGGGCATGGCCTTCACCCCAGACCCCAGTAGGAGGCATCTTGGGTCCTCTCGGGGAACGACAGGCCCGCTGGGGAGTGGCCGAGAGCGAAAAACGGTTCTTCAGACACAGTGTCACTTCCTCCCCACTAACAGCCACTGTTTAGGTAGCATAATCCCTCCCACTTTCATGGATGTGCATTTGGATGCAGAGGTCACAGAGGCCGTGAGTGGCGCGAGTTCACAACGGGCTTTCTGATTCAGTCTGCCCGACTTCCAGCAGGGGACAGACCCTGCCTGTCGCGCTTTGCCGAGGCTTCGAATGTGCCGGTACTCCTCGAGGGAGCAGCTGCCAGGCCGTCTCCTGGGGGCAGACAAAGGCGCAGCCAGCCAAGCGCGGGCCCCGCCCCACAGGGGTGGGTCTGCAGCGACCCGGAGCTCAGACTCGGGACATGTCACGCAACCCAGGTCTCCGACTCCGCCCCAACCTAGCTGGAGGCTCGATCCGGTGCCCGCCCCCTCGAGACTCCGCCATTAGGTTTGGGGTAGGGGGATTAGGATGTGAGTGGCGTCCACGTAACCCTCCGGGGCCCTGACACCTTCTCCGTAGCCAGCCATCGAGAGTAACACTTCAGTCGCCCGTTACCGAACCCATAACCCCAGAGCTCTGTAGCCCCTTCCTCGACGTGAGGTCCGCCCAATAAGGAAAGGGATTTTCTCCAATTGGCGGGTGGTGGGCTCCCCAATCCAATTAGAGAGGGCTATCGGCCCCACATCCCGGGCCTGGCTTAGAAGGAGGTGAGGGAGGGATAGAGACCGAACTACAACTCCCAAGAGGTAGCGGGGCTATCCAGCTCTCTACGTTCACGTGACTTCCTCCTCCGGGAGAGGGAGTCACGCGGTAGGCCGGCCGCCCGAGGCGCCAGTGGCCTTTGGGCTGCACAGTCCGATGGGCGCGCGGTAGGGGGCGGGGTCGGGCGCGCAGCACGGCGCGGGAGCGCGCCGGCGCCGGCGGCTGTTCGGGGGCGGGGAATATCGGCTAAGGCGACGGTGGCGGCTTAGGCACCAGCGACTGGCTGTGGCGGTGACTCCTGCTGCATTTCGGCGCGCGGCCACCTCTCGAGTTCGGAACGGAACGCTCAGCGTCGCGGTCCCCGCCCGGAAAGTTTGCCGCGGAGCCGCGACCTCCTGGCCGGCGCGGCCCGGCATGAAGCGGCGCTGAGGAGCCGCCGCCGCCGCCGCCGCCGCCGCCGCCGCCGCCGCCGCCGCCGCCTGAGGAGGAGCCGCAGCACCCTGGGCCACGCCGATGACTACTGCAAACTGTGGCGCCCACGACGAGCTCGACTTCAAACTCGTCTTTGGCGAGGACGGGGTGCCGGCGCCGCCGCCCCCGGGCTCGCGGCCTGCAGGTGGGTGCCGGGCCGGGCGGGACCGAGGAGCGTCCGCTCCTCTCCTATCTCGTACGAGCTCGCCCCCTCACTGGTCCCTTGGTTGTCCGAGTCGTAACACCGTGTGTGTTTGCGTGTGGTGAGTGTAGAGCGGATTTAAATCGCTGAGGAGGCGTGTGGGTCGCAGCGACGTGAAAGTGGCCGCGGGCTTGCCTGGGAGCGAACTAGTGGGGAACTCGACTGCGGGACGCCTGTGGCCAGTGGACGCTGGGGGTTTGGAGGCCGAGGGTCGGGGCCGCTGCCCAGGTGGCGTCTGATTGTCGCTGCTTTGCCAGCGTGGTGCGGAGAGAATGTTGTTATCCCCGTGAAGCGTAAGCGCACTTCGTTTTTCATCTATTCTAGGTGGTTTTTAAAAATCTTTATTTGGAAGATGCTCATTCTTGAAGTGTAGGAGCTCTAAAATTCGTTTCACATGTCTGTTTAAATCTCCTTTGCCAGGAGAGTAATGCTACCGTGTTAACTTCCACTTGGGCAAGTTTATGGCCCACATTTAATTCGAAGTGTAGCTATAACGGGACTTTTCTGAAAACTGGGTTTCTTTTCTTGAGCAAAGTGTTTCGGAAGATTAAAAAAAAGTGGGGTACCTTGTTCATAATATTCCTAGGAAGTTCTGGAAATCAGTTTTTATTTTAAGAAAAAGCTCACCTCGGAAGATGTTTTAAAGGAGATCGTGAATTTGGAAGGCTGGGCACCATAATGCTTGGAGGTCAGACCAATCAGGAAATAGAAACAGGATGGCTGGGGACTTAGAGCTCTCCTGTGACCTGGTTTGGAATACTGTGGTTCATTAAGTTGAGTTTCCCTATTACATATGCAGGCGAACTTCAAAAGGGAGATGGATAAGACTAATCCCTATTTATTCTTTCTGGATATTAGATGAATTACTTCATGTTCATGTTGATGTTCAACAGACTTCTGTAGAATTGCATTGAAAAACGTATCTGAACGTAAGGCATAAGCATTCTCTGGGCAGTATTTGTCTTATCAATCCTTTTAGTCTTTATATATTAGATGTCTTTTTCAACGTAGTAAATAATTTATAATAGGTATTTGTTGGCTGCGTTTCTTTCAATTCTACTAACATCATTTAAGCCCCTATTGTTTTGAGGTACTGTTAGGTACTTGGTAATGTTAGGATGGATGCAATGACTGAGGCCCCTCACAGCGCTTGGGAAATGGGTCGAGGGACATATAACCCAAATAACTATAGTAGTAGGTAGACTGAATGGTGGTGCATGTTATAATAGGGGTAGAAATGGGGAAAAGTGGCATTTGTGGAGAGAATGGCATTGAATTGTACTTAGATTATTGAGATTTAACAAAATAAAGACAAACCGTTTGAATGAGTGTTTTCATTATAAAGAAGATAAACAGTTGATGATGTCAGCAAACTTTTATTGGGCACAAACTTGATTAGAGCACATTATATACCAAATATATGATCAATAAATATGTTAACCAAAAATGAATAATAAGGGAGTATTATCATATGAGTAGGAAGTGTATATACATGCAAAATAATGAATAACATTCAAAAGCTGTGAAAACAGTTTTTTAAGAATTGATTTTTGACGTAGAAACCCAAAAAGCCATTTTGATATTAAAATGGGTCTAGAAGGAGTTAAGATTTAAAACTTGATTTATAATTGAAATTCCCAAAGTTAAACTTGAGCAGGTTTATTTGTGACAAAAAGTCCACCTTAAAATATTCTAGTGGGTATTTCGTTTTTTTTTTTTAAATTAAGGTGAGATACACATGACATAAACCATGTTAAAGTGAATGATTCAGTGGCATTTAGTGCATTCACAATGTTGTGCCAGCACCACTTCTATCTAGTTCCAGGACATTTTTATCACCCCAAAAGGAAACCCTGAACCCAATAAGCAGTTGCTCCTGGTTCTCCCTGTCCCCTTCCCAGTCCCTGGTGGCCCAGTCGCTAATCTGAGATGTCTCTGGATTTACCTATTCTGGATATTTCATAGAAATGGAATCATACATATGTGACCTTCTGTGTCAACCTTCACGTTGTAGAATGTAGAGTGAAGTAGTACTACTTCGTTCCTTTCTATGGCTGAATAATATTCTATTGTATATATGCCCCAATTTGTTTATCCATTCATCCAGTGAATGAATGGGCTTTTTCTACCTTTTGGCTATTGTGGATAGTGCTGCTATGAACACCTAGGAGCTAACATTTAAATTCTATTGAGAAAGATAGGTTTTACATTCAAAGCTAAGTTTTCAAAATTCTTTGTTCACAAAATTAGTTTTCATTTTAATAAGCATAATTTTGAGTGTGTAGTTTGAAGGAGCTAAGTGGATTAACTAATATGCTTTTAGAATGATAATATACAGTGAAGTCGGTCATGAGAACAAATTGCTTGGTAGAATTCAGATCAGTATCAGTGTGTTTACTTGTTTTTGGATTCTCTTCCTCACTGGAATGGAAGTTCCATGAGGGCAGATAATGTCTATATCTTGTTCATAGTGGTATTATCAGTGCCTAGCACAGTGCCTTTAACATGGTAGGCATCTAATATTTGTTGGATTAATGAATACATACTGCTTAAGTTTTGAGTCAGTGCTCACTTTTTTTTGTGGTAGAGGAAGTTGATGAGACTTGTTTCAGTTCTTTAGCTTTTATTGGTCAGTTCCATAAGACAGCAGATCTTGATAATTTTGGGCTTCAGGTTTTCCATCTCTCTAAAGTTTTGAGTGTACTTGTATCTCATCTAAATTTCCATACAGAAGATTTTTTGAAAAATATTTGGAGGAGGGGGTTAGTGGATGGAGACTGAGGACAAGCCAAGGGGCTGAATTTAGTGAATGTCCTAAGCAAGCTTAATAAAGTGCAGATTAGATGATTTGATGATTTAACACTTGATAACATCAGATCGGTTTGTGATTGACTTTTTAAGGTTATTGCTTACAGAGATGTGAGCAATTTTCCATTAAAGAAAATTTAAGATCCTAGAGTCTTTAGCTTTTTTTTTTAAAAAAAAATGAGGACAGTGCTAGCTTGATTTTTTCATTTAAAAATTAATCAAACTATTCTGTTTAAACTTTCTTTTACTTAATGCCTAGCTTCAAAATGAAGATATATTTCAATAGTAAATTTGGGAGAATTTGAAATTGGTTAAATGTGTAATGTATTTTATTAACATTATTTACCGTTATAAAGGGCAGCTTGTGGTGCTCTGTTTTCGTGTATTGAGTGTATAGCTGTAGTTTAGTTTGATGTTATCATAATCTTTGCTTTTCAAATTTAAAGTTTAATTCTTAGGGTTTGTTCATTACTAAATAATTGACCTTCTAGCCCTGAATGAGAATCACTGGGAAGTGTATGCTATCCTGTATCTTATCTATGGCTGCTTTTTTAAAGGGGAGAAGTATCTTAGATACAATGTGTATTTTTGTAAGAAATTTAATTTATGATAAGATATGTGTAATTTGTCAGATATCACTTTAATACACAACTTTTTCATATGTAAAGTTGAGGAACCTTTCCTAGATCATTGTCCTTTTTAATCTGTGGTGTTTTTGCTTTGTTTAGTGTTTGGAGATCTGATTCATGTATTCTTTATAGTTTACTGTCTTTAGATAATTTCGTTTTCTCACTTTTCAATTTTTATTGATAATTTTTACTCAACAGTTTTGTTATAGCTTGTGTTAAATGAGATAATGTGTTTAAAGCTCTTAGCACAGTCCTTGGTCCAGTGGTGCTCATTGATTGGTGGTAGTTAACATTTCTTTAAACCCACACATGCACACACACACAAACTTGTGATAGGTTATTTTTTACTTCCTCCTCTTTTCTAGACTCTTTTCCCTATGTTAAACTAAAACGTTGAGAGAGAGTAGGGGCAGATGAGAGATCCAGTCATTTAAGCCTTACTTAAATGTCTTGGAATATTTGTCTTAGACATTTTTGTTTTATCCTCTTAATTCTATTATTCTTTGCAATCTTACCTTTTTTCTCATATCTTACTAAATATAAGTACTGAAGTTCATTCACTTTTAATTATGTTTTTCTACTTTCTTGAATTAAGTTGTTACTGCCTCAGTATAGTGTGAAAGATGGTTGTTTTGCTAACCATACTAAGTATAATTGGATATTTAAATCAGTACGAAAAAAGGGAAGTTGCTTGTATGGTTTCCTACCATCGGTCAGGTTTTTCTTTAGACTTGAATGTGGTGAAAATATGTATTAGCTGATTGGTCAGTGATAAACATTTCACCATTTCACTTGGAAGAATAATATATTGTTTCTTTGACATTTTTCCTGATGGGGTAGAGGATGCTTCTGGGGGTATTAGCAGAATTTTGTGATGGGGATTGGTGAATAAAAGTTTTAGTGAGTGTGGGGAACAATGGAGGAAAAAATTTCAATGTCATATTGTTTTGTTAAAACTTTATCATTCTAAGAGCATTGCTGTGCCTGCGCTTTCTTAGATTTTCCCATTTGCCAATACAGAAGAGATATTTTGGCATATATTCTAAACTATTAGCAGAGGTAATACTGTAGTAGTTTTATTAGAGGATATAAAAATTAAAACTTGAGTATTATGTACATGGTCAAGAAATTGTAGAGGTCTAGTAAGGCCTGTATCTTAAGCCTTTAAGGTATTAATTTAGAGTAATTTGTAGAATCAACTTCTTATTATGACTTACCTTTCTGTGGCAACCAGTAAACTTTGCCTAAAATTATACGTATTTTTATTGAAGGCGTATCCCAAGTTCTGCTTTGGAGTTTTGCTCTGTATTTGTTTTTTCAATGAAGTGTGATCGTAAGAACATTTTTGGTAAGAAAATGTGGAATTAATTTTTCTTCAGAGAAAGTAATAATATGAATACTGATTTTAAAATGGAAATCTTTTAAAAGAAAATAACAAGTTGTGTTACTGATTGTGAAGTGTAACTTGTCCTTTGCTTTCCTTCTTAGTATTGAGTAGTTGATGAT